AATAAGCTTAGGGGGTCTTTCCTGTGGGTCCCCACATCTGTACCCTAGCGTTCAGAATGGGGAAGGAACCCTGACAGCTGCCATCAGCTGGTGACTAATGTGAGTGCTACCATTCAGCCATTAATTTCTGTTAAAGAAGGATTTGTCAGGCATTATTATCAATCTAATGGAGCACATCCTGCTTTCTAATTGGTAGAGTATCAGCCAGCGAGGAACACAGAACTGCCAGTTTTCCAATTAAACCATGATATAGCCTGGAACTTGTTTATTTTTTATGGAGACATGCCCAGTTGCCTGAATGGCATTTGGGTGACTGGCAATGAGGGGCATTCTTGTGTTACTTAGGTTAGCAACTAATTTCTCCCCATGCAAATAAATTGAGAATAAGACCCCTCTGACTCAAGAGATATCTGACAGTGGGCATGATAGAGAAGGTAAGACAGAAGACCAATGTGAAAGCCATCCGGCAGAATGTGAAGAAGCTGAACTGGAATATGGGTGATACTGTCCTAAAAAGCATGACAAAGATGGACTATCCTTATAATGTAATGGAAACTAGCAGATGATAAGAACAATTGAGTTATCAGTGATAAAGCTGGAGAGATGGAGTGGGTATCTTTGGAAAACGATAGTGGTCATACACTATCCAGCTACGCATCTTTTGCTGCAGCACCATGATGAGGGTCTCGCTGCCTTGCAATGAACAGCAAGTAGGCTTGATAATGATTACATGATAATGTCAACAGGCCATGCTCTTTGTATGAGACTGAGTCCCTCCCCTGCATTCACAGAACAGCATGGCAATGACACGAAAACAGGAGGAAAAAAGGAAAAACGACATCTAGCATTTGTTGGTGTCTGCCTTTATTTCTGGCATCAAATTATGAAAATCCTCGTTTGGCCCATTTCTTTGTCATATCCCATCAAAAATTTTAGAATATGGCTTTCTATGCAGTATTGTTTGATATCACCCTCCTGATTTCAATGCAGAATAATCTGCAGAAAATCCCTGTAACGTCTAAGGAAAAAAACCTGTCCTGTTTTTGGCAATTTTCACACAAAACTCTTGTGAGATTTGAGACGATTTTAATGGAAGAGAGGGAAGTCCTTTGTTTCTCTGTTTTCTCAAAGAAATTGTGTTACTTCCCATTGTGTGGGGCAGCCTATGTGAAGACATTATGCAACTCTCTTTCAAATCAGTTTCATTCTGAATCTTGTTGGCGCTTACCTTAGCGGTGGGTGGTTTTTCTTGGCTGTGGGTTTGAAGCTGATTTTTGTAAATGGTTTTATTTCCAGATTACATTAAACTTCTGTCCTAAAGACAGTGCAAAACTGTTTTTGAAAGTTGTGTGGAAGAAGTATAGCTCATGAAGCAATATCCTCACAAAACTAGAACTAGACATATACTGTATCTTGTAGATGCTCCATCTTTGAGTCTGAAATAGTAGGGCACAATCCTCTGCACCAACCTCATGACTCCAAGCCACCTTTACACCTCCTCTAAACTTGCAGCAGCTGGGGGTCAAAACCAGCCCACAGGGCCAGCTGGAGTAGCAACAGGACTTCTATAACTTCTGCTGGCTAGAACAGTCCTCTGGGCTTTATACCCCTGGGAATCCATGAGAACTCTTTTAAGGTCCTTTGCACTTTGTGCCACAGACTTCCTCTGTGAACTTGGATAAGTCACTTCACATCTCTGAGTCTCAATTTTCCCTACTATACATTGGATATAATAATCCACTACCTCACATAGATGCTATGAGGCTGAATTAATTAATGATTATACAATGCTTTGACATCCTTTGATGGAAGGTGCTACATTATTGTAAAATATTAAAGGCCAGAGTCTCAGCTGTGTTTAAGTTCTGCTTGCAGGCAGCGAGATAGAGGGCCAGCTGGGGGCTGGTGGCGACTCCCTAACTCTGAGCTGTATTCCCTGGTGCAAGTGTGTCGTGGAATCTTCCTTGGCCATACATCCTCCTTGCCCTGCCCCAGAATGCCCCCTTCTCACTCTACACTAGGTCCAGATGCTGCATGTGTATGTTGGGGAATCTACCAAAAGAAGGTATCTTCACGCTGAAAAGAGGCTATGATTAAAGCAAATCCCTGCATGTTGTATGATACCTTAATGAGAAGCCAGATTTCTGGGCATAAACAGCAGTGCATCTTAAAGCTTGTCCTGTCAACCTCATCTATTCCCATTCTCCAGCCAGATGACAAGTACATGTGTAAAATATTAGGTGATACGCTACATGGCACGATGTTAGCTACTGGGTCATTCATGCTGCCTATCCTGCAGCTACATGTGCCTCATACAAGGTGAGAATGGTGTGAACTAATAATTTGCAAGCCCTTTGTGGTTATCTCTCAACATCACTGTTAGTTGGGTGCATGGAGGATGCCAGTTTTTGATACAGTTTTACAAGATTCTCCACCAATTAGAGAAGGAATCCTATATTTGGGCATTAGGTGGATTGTGTGACCTATAGGTATAATGCCTCTGTTTGAAGCTCCACATGATTTTAGATCATAACTCTTCAGGGGAAGGACCGTCATTGTTCAGTGGTTAGCACAAGGGGGCCCCAACTCAGCTGAGTCCTCTGAGCACTACTGCAATACAAATAACACCATAATGATGATACATGCAGATTTTTCAGTGTCCTTTTCCCCATCACACTTGTGTTGCCAGCAAAGAGCATGATTTGGCCCTCAGGATTAAGATAAAAGCAAATATAAATCCTTGCTATTATGGTATCAAATACATTACCTTAGATCTTTCACATTATAGAAACACAGCCGTTTAAAAGATTGTAAGCCCTCTGAGGCAGGGATTATTTTTCTGTTCTAGCACAATGGGTTTGTGGTCCATGACTAGCATTCCTAAGCACTATCACAATTCAAAGAAGAAATAATAATAATAAATAGCAATTCTAGCTATTAAACGTCCCGCCCATCTCTGAAATACTATATCATTATCTATGAAGAGAAGCAGACAGATACAACTGCTAATGAATTCAGATGCCAGAATTCAGATGAATTCTGGAATTCAGCTGCCAGAACTAAACAGGCAACTGTTTTCATTAATTTGGACCTCTCATTAAAGAAATGCCAGGCCTCTCTCTAGAACTGCAGGGATTCAACTCTGACATCATTCCAACTTTGCACATAAATCCTAGCACATGCTTCTACTATATTAGTTCATTTCCTTACCTTTAATCAGCACAAAGATAAATTATTAGATAAGAATCCCTGAGAAGCTATAGGGTGAAATACTGGCCCCACGGAAACCAAAAGGAGTTTTCCTATTGATTTCAATGTGGTTAGGATGTCACCCATAGTTTTTTCCAAACTAGCAACTTAAATATTATTGTACAGGAAAATAAAATTAATTAATCAGATCTAAAAACAGGATCACAGTGCTGATGATTGCTAATACAAACATTTCTGTAAAGCAGTGGTAAGGACAGGATCTTTTAGCCCAGAGGTTCTCAACCGTTTTCTTTCTGAGGCCTCTCTCAACATGATATACAAACTCCACGGCCCACCTGTGCCACAACTGTGTTTCCGCATATAAAAGCCAGGGCCTGCACTGGGGGTAGCAAAGAGGCTACACCAAAGAGCCCAGGGCTCCACACCACAAGGGGCATCATGAAGCTAAGTTCCTCAGGCTTCAGCATCAGCCCCACCGAAATGGTGGGTCTCAGGGCCCCGGGATACAGTCCCACATGGCAGACCTTCGGCTTTCTGCTCTGGGCCCTACCAAGTCTAATGACAGCCATGCTTGGCAGCCCCCCTGAAACCTCCTCGTGGCCTCCCAGGGGTCCCCAGACTCCTGGTTGAGAACCACTGTTCTAGCCCACGATCTCTCTTGATAACCATATTCCATAGGAACTACGAAAATGTTAAACTCATACAAGTGGGGACAGAGCTCTCTCAGCTGTTTGCTAGGACTACAGAACAGCTTTTTGGCAGAGGATGGAGGCAAGACTGACACAGACCTCATGTCCTTCAGAGAAAATTGTAAACTTCACTGTTAATAAAGCCTTCCCAAAGCAACAATAACCTCAAAAGAAAACACAAGAAAAAAAGACAAAAGGGGGACAGAGAAAAGAAGAGAAAGGAAGCTGCTGCTTATGGATTAAAAGGTCCCAATTTGAGGCTTGGCTGTGGTAGGTAAAATGTATGACAAAAAAAACGTAAGAGAGACAAGGTAGGTGAGATTATATGTTGGACCAATTTCTGCTGGTGAAAGGTAAAAGCTTTTGAGCTTTGTAACTTCCACCAATAGAAGTTGGTCCAATAAAGGATATTATCTCACCTGTGTTGTCTCTCACCTCCTGCAAGCAAAAAGGCTACACCACTGCAAGAAACAGACACGAACACAGCAAAAGCCAGCTGATCTGATCCCAAGCTCAGAGCCAGAGGTACAGACTGTGCTGGCTGCATTTGACTCCAAGCATGGGTGCTGCAGAGTAGAATCCCATGGACTGCAGAGGTGTGTGTGGGTGTGAGTGTGTGTGTGGGGGAAACAGTTTAAAACTGCCCATTTGCCCCCAAGCAGAACACTGCGGGTTGTACCTTGGGTTGCCAGTTTTGGTTGGACTTATTCCTGGAGTTTCATCACATGACATAATCTTTAATTAAAGATTAATCTTTAATTCCTGGAGAGGTTGGCAATCCTAAATTGTACCCCACGTGACAGCCATGGCACAGTACCATGCAGGCTGCATTTGAACCCAGACCCTAGGTCCGCCGCGTAGAACGATGCAGGCTGCCTTTAAGCCTCAGCACAGGGACTGCGAGGGAGGACAAGCTGGGCTAGACGCGTCCCCAGGCGCACAGGCTGCACCCGACAGCCACCCAGGCTTCGAGTGGCCAGACAGCAAGTGTGAAAAATCGGGATGGGGTGGGGGGGGGTGGGGAGTCATAGGTGCCTGTATGAGAAAAAGTCCCCCAAATCAGGACTGCCCCTATAAAATCAAGACATCTGGTCCCCCTACCTAGGCTCCACTGAAGGGCATGTCCCGAGGCGCCCCGGGTAGGCCCCTGCGAGCTGCACCGAAAGGCCACGGCCCAGAACGTGGGCTTCAGCTGATCTCCCGCGTGGGGGCCCCAGCCCAGGGTCTGGGGGCACTGTCTGACCAGCCCTGCTCTCTGGCCATGCCCTGGGGTGGGGAGAGCGCATGTAAAGCTCCCGCAAAGCCGGGGCGGGGGGGGGGGACAGGCCCTGCTGCTCCCCACTCAGAGCAGCCCAAGCCGGGGGCGGGAGGGGGCGCGCGGCGCGAGGCGGCCCGGCAGCAGAGCCGCACCGCGCATGCGCGGCAGGTGCTTGCCTTTCCCTTCGGCTCCTCCCTGCCCCCACCCTCACCCCGGCCGCCTCGTCGTGTCTTCCCGGCGTGCCCCGCGCGCGCTGTGGCGTTGACGTCACCGCCGCCCGGTCCCCGCCGCCATTGGAGTTGGAGGGTCTCTCGCTCCATCCCGGCTCGGGGCCAGCGCGGGGGGACAGGCCGCGGGGCGCGGAGCGAGGGCGGGCGGGGATGTGAGGAGAAGGGCCGGCAGGGCGAGCAGCGACCGGACCGACCCCCCCCCCCGTCCCTCCCTCTTCCCCGGGGGGGCCTAGCCTGAGGAGGGACCCCCCCCCACATACACAGGCCGACCCGGCCCCTCCCCCGGGGCCCCGTCCGGAGCGCCCCTCGCAGGCCCAGCGGACAGGCGCTTCCCTCCCCCTCCCCCGCGCCCAGGAGGGGCCCCGCGTTCTCGCCGTGCGCCTCCCCGCTGCGCGGAGGGGCCCGGGCCCTGCCCCTCCCCCAGCTCCCTGCTGACCGCGGCGGCCCCGTACATGAAGGATGTCGGCCACCAGCGTTGACCCCCAGGTAAGTGTGGAAGCCCAGCTGGGCCCGGGGCCGAGCGCTTCTCCTTCCCTCCCCCCCCCCGCGCGTGCCTGCCCCGAGAGGTCCCTCTCGCCTTCTTTGGGCCCTAGGCACTCCCTTTAACTCTTCCCTCGCCCGATCAGGGGCCATTTCCAGTGATCCAGCCCTTAATAATAAATACAGCTGTCAGCCCTCCTTCTCTTCCCACACTCCTCCTCCCCCCCTCCCCCCCCGCCTGGTTATTTCTCCCCCACAACCCTGTCTGCAAGGAGCCCAGAGCGTTTTCCAAAACTAACTTTCTCCTCTGTCTTTATTTTCCTCTTCGCAATCATGCGCATGGCATCGCAGCGACCGAAAGGACAAGATAATAAAGGTAAGGCGAATGCTGGGATTTTTCCACTTAAGTTGTTACTTCTGAAGGTAGATGAAGCAGTCAGGCAGTGATGGGTGAGCCAATAGGTATTAATCTAAACTCTATGGTGAAATATAGAGCAAAGTGGGGGTTTTTAAAAGGAACCTGGTTCCTAAGGGGTTTTTTGCATGCCACTGATGCCAGTGTTTGTGCTTTTAGTGTTTAATTATAAAAACATTTTAAGAAAATGAAATTGTTACAGTTAAAAATAGAGATACGAATACAGTTTAGGAGATTCATTTATTTAAGTGACAGATTGAAAAGTACCCAAACTTACTTTGTTTTTCTGCTATATAATTATTGTTCTGTTACTGGACTGGTATTGACAAGTGGTACATCGGTACAAGTTTTTTCATGAAATAATTTCAGTCTTAAAAAAAGTTCTCTCTGATAATGTGATATGCTTTTGTGTGGCCTCTAGCACATTGTCACAAATGAAACTTCGGAAGCAAGTTGTCTTTCAAGTAAATGGCCTGCTTTATAAACTATATTATGTATGTTACTATGAGTGCTACGAAATACATAACTGTTTAAGAATAGAAAGGAAACGGATACTCCCGTCAATTTACGTAAGCACATCTTTTCGGTGTTAAGGTTCTTTGAATTTCACTTTATCAGTGTGTTTCAGATAGCTATAGTCCCAACAAGCTCATATTTTCCCCCCAGTTCATAAATATACCCTTCTTATTATGCATCCATTTTCTCTAAAAATTCTTCCTAACATTATTTTACACTTGCAGACCTCTTTGAAATCCCCACTTTAGTTTTATTTTTTAGCATCGTATTTCTTTTCCTGTAGCAAAATTTTTAGTTTAGCCTTCCTGTGAACCTCTTGAACTACTTTCCAAAGGCTTAATGCATACAGTGTGACTTATGCTTCAAAACAAATGATGGAAATTAAGAGTGAAGTGACTTGAATAATTTATGTAGCATCTTCCAGCTGTGGATTTCAGTGTGATTTACAAATATTATTAATAATTGAGTCTCAAATATCTCCAATTTAGTGAAGTTTTATCTCCCTTTTACAGACAAGAAAACCAAGGCTTGAATTTAAAGCTTGTAAATATTATTATTAGGATGTCAAACACTCAACAGCCAGTATTTTACTGTTCCACCTCTGATATGATTTAACATTACTTTTTAAAGAGGCTGCTCAGCTTTTACAAAAGATATTGCTATGACTTCCAGTTCTTCTCGCAAGTTCATGTCAAGAGATGTCTATTTGGTTTTAAGAGATTTTATGGGGAAAGTATAAAAACATACCTTTACGAAAATTGCAGGTTCCTCTGACTCTCTGTAACTGTCATTCAAATCAGTTTTGTAAGCAATAGTGACATTTAGAGTGCATGTGGAGGTTCTCATTCTGGTGAAATCTGACTCCTTTGCTTTGCTTGGGTGGTTATCAATGCCACAAGAAGGAAGGGAGTTAACTTATTTTTGTGAAGTTACTCTAGAGTGAGTTTCTTTACTGTAACATTGTCAGGCAATGTTATAATATGTTGCAACTTTATGTTTTAGTACAAAATGGTTCATTGCATCAGAAGGACACAGTTCATGACAACGATTTTGAACCTTACCTTTCTGGACAGTCAAATCAGGTTAGTGCATCTGTTAATTTTGGTGGCTTTTTTTAGGGATGTTGGGGGTAGTGTTGGTTGTACAGTAAACACCAATATGACTTGTTTATGCTTTGGGGATCAGAAAAAGCTATAGTGCCTGAAATGTTACTGAGTAATGAAATTATCATTTTAGCTCAGAATACTGGTGGTATTATTTATATCTAGTTTGGTCACGTGGAAATTAAGTTAGTTAGAAATCCTAGTTTCTGTTGGGCATTTACCAAATGACACAATTCCTGTAAAATCTGACATAGCTGGCAGCCTACCAAGGGCCCTCGACTTTCAGTTCTTTAATAGACAAATCTCCCATTACTGTGTCATTGGGGTTCTGCTTCTGTAGGACTGGTGGATTGAATCCTTGTGCTCTAAGTGGAAATAAGCGATAAGTGACCACAGCATAATTTGAAACTCTTAAAGATGCTATGATGAGGACTGATAGACTTGCAGGCCAGAAGGCACCATCATGATCATCTAACCTGACTTCCTGCACATCACAGGCCACAGATCCTCACCCACCCATTCTTGCAGTAGGTCCACAATCTCTGGCTGAGTTACTGAAGTTCTCAAATCTTACCTCTTTGCAGAGGCGTATTATCTAGAGATGATTAACAAAAGATGAGCTGCTTGAGGGCATCGTAAAAATAGTGTAGATTATACATTCATATGTGACTCAAGCCAAGAGTATAAATTAAATTTTGTTAAAAATCCTGAATAACTAAAATTTAGTGTGTTTTTAAATTCCCAACTTTTTTCCAGTGTAAATAAAGACTAACTTTTTACTCACATCAATAATTTAATGTACAAGCTTATTTTAAGAAATGTAAATCAAGCTCCAAAAAATGGTGCTTAAAAATTTAAATGCCCACAAATGTAATAAACTAGCTTTCTCCTATCCTCACTTCTGTGTCACAGGACTCCACGCAATTATGCACACTTTTCTTTGTAAAATAGGGGGTCAGATTTGGAATAGTAGTGGTTCTTCCATGTGAAAATTGAGCTACAATATCAGATTGTAGTACTTGTAATTTCAAGTGCCTGGGAACGCTAGCTAAAATATACTAGGCCTTTATTGGTAGGTATTGCTGTTGTACTGCACTCTAAGACAAAAATGAAGAAACCAGTCCAAATATACAGCCAGCCGGAACCAGAAGATCTGGCATAAGTGATAAACCAAGAAAAATATCTGCAGATATGTAATCTGTTTCCAATTAACACAAAGGATTAGCAAAGAGAACTGAAGGAGGGACTCAAAAAGGTCAAGGATAAGTATGTTGAAATATATGTATCACTACTTCACTAAAAGACTGCCTTCAGGGTTTCTCTTACACTCTGTGGCATAAAGCCAAACAAAATAGACTGAATGCTTTGTTAAGATATCCGGTGAAATTCTTTATTCTGCTTGGATTCATGTGGAAACTTTCCACGCTGGGTGCTTAGATGGTGACAGTCCAAGGAATTTGGTTAGGATGGCTCAGAGAACATACATATTTCTGGAACAAAACACCTGTTGATTTCAGTCACTTATGGTCAGGGACCCTTCTAGCTAGAGCTATAAAAGATCTAAGCTGTCACGGAGTGTGTGGAGATGGTGCAGATTAGCTAAGAATGAGAGTTAAGTCTACAGAGTTTGACGTGTTGGTGGTAAAAAAACCACTTCCATTTTTGTATTATTGGTGCTTACATTTTTGAAGACAGCAAGGATACTGTGGCGTAAAATAAGACATTGATGTCAGTGTCAGACAAAATAATGGGTCTCAGAAAATGTCTTCATATGCTGAGTATTATTCCTTTTGTCCAAGAGGTTTTGCAAATCCAGGCACAAGAAACACTACTGCAGAAAACACAAAACCAGAATTGAATGTTTTTATGTCTTTTAGTGAATGTTCTCAATAGTAAAAAGGCTTAGTGTATCTCTTAATGTTAGAACTCTATGGATTAATTCTTTACATGGTGATTCAGGATGTTGATTTCACCATACTTAGGGATGTTGTGGGAGGGAGTCTCTGGAAAGATGAGTTGTACAGATCACTCCGTTCACTGAATCAGATTTGGTATTCAGCATTAGTCTTTTTAGTAAGAAATTTTTGCATAGGTTTCAGAATGAGTGTAGAAAGAGTGATGTTATGGGTGAAGAACTAGAAAATAAGCTTCTAATGGAATCTTAGTAAAGACAACTACATTATTCTGTCAAGCCATAGTTAGGATTCCAAACTTGGAATCTGTCAGTCTCCTTTCAAGAATCTTACGATGGTCTGATCATGAGTAAGAAAGGTGTAGCTGCTATTTGTTTCTTGCTTATTTGTGACAGTTCACTCTGTGTGCATCACATTTTTTTTAATTCTCATGATTTTCCTTAGAATAAATTAGAAAAAATGTTAACCATTATACTTGTCTTGCACTGAACCATTCTTAGTGTCTTATAGTAACTAAAGCCATCAGACTTCAAAAACTGAATGCATAGGAGCATCTGCCATTAAGATTGACATTTTTGTCCACCTAAGAAATACCTCCTTTTCTTCATACCTCTCTGTTTTAATGACTTCGAGCCATTTTAAAGGGGTAATGTCATCTTAAGTCACATTTGTCCACTCCTTTTTACTTCAGGTTTCAGAGTGGTAGCCGTGTTAGTCTGTATCAGCAAAAAAAAATGAGGCGTACTTGTGGCACCTTAGAGACTAACAAATTTATTTGGGCATAAGCTTTTGTGGGCTAAAATCCACTTCATCAGATGCTTACTTTTGACAGTTTACTTGTAACATCTAAGCTTGCTATAACTGAAGTAGACCAGAAGGAAGGACATTTCTTTTCAGTTGTGCTTTGTGCATCTGATGTCACTCCATGTGTGGACATTACTCTTTCCAATGCATACTCAGTTTCCCCTTTTTATTTGGTTTTTGGAGCAATTCAAAAAAGAAAAAGAAAATTTTGCCTTTTTTGGTTATAAAACTGTAAAAACTGACAAGGGAACTCAGAGGAAGGTGTAGTACTTAAAACTGTTCAACTTCAACTATGTGGGGGGGTTAATTTTTTTTATGTTAAAAATTTACACTTAAATTTTAGTGTAAATGTAAAATACACATACTTGTAAAATCTCAGTCTATCAAAATAGAAGTGACAAATGAGAAGCAATCCTTTCTTCTCTGATCTTGTGTAATAATTTTTTTTACTTTCCATTTACTAGCATATGATATTGTGCTCAGGGTAATTTGTAGTGAATGTGAAAGGCCATAGAAATACCTATCGTAAGAGTGTCTTCATTCTTTTTGGGGAGAGGAATCAATCTCAGTCCTTACTTTTGTGGCACTAAGTAATTTTCTTAGTGTTTTCAAGGCATACATTGAATTAACAGAAGCAAATACACTAGGTTACTTGTGAAAGCCAATTTTAATAAGTAATCATGCCCTTTGCTCTGTAGCATATGCAATCTGCTTCCTTATGAAATCAGCCAAGCTCATCCAAACCCCCCTCCCCACCCCCATCCCTACCCCCAAAAAATGCATGTTGTGAAATTCCTGAAATATCAGTTTCTTAACGTTTTTGTATGGTTGCAGAAACAAACTTGGATTTGGTTTCCTTTTTGCGGGGTGATGTTCTTTCATTTTTTTTTTAAAACAGATGTTTGTCTCAACTTGCTAAGGGTTAAAGGTTCAAGGAAATAATTTTTTTGCTAAAAGTTTAAAAAAAAATTAGTGTTCTTAACCTTCATAAACTATGGCTCTGTTTGGCATCTGGGAATGCTAATTGCTGCACAACTTGGCTGAGCCCCTTGGCTAGAAATGCTAATACAGTATTTTACAGTCTAATGTTTCTCTTGTCTCCAGTATGTAAAGCATCAGGTACAGAAAAATGTACCTGATTTGGAGACCTTACGTTTTTGTATGCATTGTCTAGGGGGAGGAGAAAGGAGGGAGAAGATTCTCTTCTTTGAGTTTTAACCAATACCTTATCTTCTCATACTGTCTCTTCACCTTTCTCTGATCTGCCTTCTTTCTTGCCATCATTTTGCATTGGCAGTTTTTTGCTTGGCATATTGTTAAATAAGATGTGTGGCCTCCATTGCCCATTCGTAGAATCATAGAATATCAGGGTTGGAAGGGACCTCAGGAGGTCATCTAGTCCAACCCCCTGCTCAAAGCAGGACCGATCCCCAATTAAATCATCCCAGCCAGGGCTTTGTCAAGCCTGACCTTAAAAACATTATTTCTATTAAGTGCTGCTTCTACTTTTGTTTCTTAACTTTTAATTTGCTGCAGTTGAAGCCCCATCACTGACTTTCAGACCCAAGTGGCTAGGACATGCTATAGCCTGTTACCATGCCTAGACTTATTTGCAGGAGAGGTAGGTCCACGGCAGGCAACTTTTGGACAAGAGCCAAGATAAGACTTTCATCATATTGAATAGTGTTAATTTTAAGCTTTGTTTCTATGTAATTTTTACTAGTGACTTAATCTTAATTTTTAATCTTTATTTGTACTTCTGCATTATTATGTGATGAGAAGTGAAGGGAGTGGAAGAAACCAAGAGTCAATTGAACACTTGGTAAGAGAATAGAGGGGAAAACTAGAATGCCTGATTCTAAAAAGCAGCTAAGAGGTGGGGGGAAGGGGACACACATGATGAGCTTGTCCCTGGAGCAGCTTTAAGGCAAAATCTCCATGCTGCTACAAGCCAGTTGATTTTTTTTTCGTAGGGTTCTAAAAGGTGGTCATACAGATTTGGGAAAAGCTGGCGGGAAGAGCTCCAAGCTTCTGTAACTGGACTGCTGCATGGGGCAATAAGACCTTGGTGGAAAAGAGTAACCAGCGGCTGTCTTGAACAAAACCTGAGTGATTTACACGCATATGTCAGATGTAGAATTTGTGTCTGTATGTTTATATCCCTGGCACATCAATAAACTCTGTAAACTGAAATGCCTCGACACCAGAACTTATTTAAGCAAACCCCCAATCTTATCCGACTCAGTGTTGCTTATGACCTCCATGTGCTCTCTGACCTAAGTTTTCAGAGGTAGAAGTCCAGTGGACTAATCATTACATCTGTTAACACTTCACTTATGTTTTACTTCTTGTTTACAAATACAGAAAAATTACACTCCCAAACTTCTTGTCTGTTAGGAATTAGGAAGCCATGGTAGCAACTCCATGGTAAAGATTGTAACCAGCTTTTTATTATATTCTTCACCTTAACAAAATAAAATCACTGTACTTAAAATTTCTTCTGTATAGACTTCTGCCAGAAGATCTTTCTATAATATTTGGCAATCAGGAAAAGGAATTAGTGAGGTGACTCTGAAAAATCGGAGGTATTAATCTACTGTACCAGTTTCCTAACATCTCTAATGTTCTCTATACCTGCTTGGTCTACAATCTCCATGTTAACTAATTAGCCTGCTGTGAGGATTGTGGAAACTATATGCTGAGTTGTCACTTAAATTGTATTCTAACTAAACGTTCTGCAGCTGTGCTTGGAGCAGACACCTATGCCCCCATGGAGCCTCATTGGCTCTAGTCTCTGTAGTTAGTTGTGCAGCACAACAAGGGTGGATGGAAAAATCTTATTACTTGATGCTTTTACAGATATAAATAGTTGATTTTCAATATTATAAATAACCACTCTGACTCAGGACTTTCTCTTTCCAGTTCCCATATAGGGGTCAAGAAGGGATTTTCCAGAACTATTTTTTTCCCCAGTACATACCTATTTTTTTAAATCTACTCTCATTTTGTAACTTCCTCAGGAGTAACATATATCCTATGCATTTTTTAAATGCTCGTGCCAGTATATTCAGTGTCATTTACAGTCAAGCTTGAATATTGTCATATTTTGAAGTCAAGCATTTGTCTTTACACTCCAAATTTCAGTTACTTTAATATCCTCTACATACAGCCCCAAATACTCATCACTCACTATTTAAAATTATAATACAAACCACAGTCAAATTGTGTCAAGCCAAACAATTTATTCTCCCCCTCTGTGGGTCTGGCATTCAGCCAGTAACGCTGCCGTTGTGACTCCAATGCAGTCACAAATGCTAGTCACATCTTCCTTTTTCCAAAACAAATTTGGAGCTTTAGGTACTGCACATAATTGCAAAAGGTGAAATACGTTTTTAATTTGTCACTAACATAGTAATGAATCTACATCATGCATATAGTGCACAGTATAAGGACAGTGTTCTATTTTCTAGCACTTCCCTCCATAAACTTAATATTTCTTAAGTTGTACATTAAAAAAATATTCTGAAAAGAATGAAGGCTGCACATCATGCAACATATGCAGAGCAATTTTTCACATTCTATAAAATATTTTATGCTGTTTTCATTTGGTAGTATGTACTACATTTTTGTGTAACTTCATAGACTTAAAGGCTATGTAATGTAAGAACTATATAAAACAAATCACATACATTATTTCTTGGATGTGTTATGCAGCAAAACCTGCTCATCTGTTCATCTTTCTTTTGATTTTGGAGTTAAAATCACTGACTGTGTATTTTTCAGAATGTTATGTTAGTACAAACTATTGTGTAAATCTTAATATTGAAATAGAATTATCTTCAATCTTGTACAATTTCTAGATCCTATTAATTTCTGAGACTTGGTCTTGCTGCATTTTTTAAATTATTTTTCTATGATCGTTGCATACTGTTGATTAAACACTATGTTAAACATTTAGTACAATATGAAAGTATTTGGTAGTATACTCATAGAACAAATATATTTCTCAATTACAAGTCACGAATTTTCATGACTAAAATGAATTATCTGCAGTGTAGTAAAAGTGAGTTTGAGGTCATGGGGTCAACTAGCATTCATCTGAGAGTGGTGGTCACTGTTTAAAACTCTACAGGAAGTGGAGGAGAATGTATCTCTGGTATAGGAATATACAAGATGCAATGACATTAATTTAGACTAAACAGTCCATGGAATAATAAGTTGTGTAACTTGGAGTTTGAAACAATAGTTACTACTTATCATCTTTTCTATTTAGTAGTATGCAAATGTTGTCATTTATGAAAAAGTGCATACCTCTGAAATTACTTTTTCTTTTCTTTAACAGAATAATAGCTATCCATCAATGACTGATCCCTATTTGTCCAGTTATTATCCACCATCTATTGGGTTTCCCTATTCTCTCAGTGAAGCACCGTGGTCTACCGGAGGAGATCCTCCTATCCCATACCTCACCACCTATGGACAGCTCAGTAATGGAGACCATCATTTTATGCATGATGCTGTTTTTGGACAGCCTGGGGGTCTGGGAAACAACATCTACCAACACAGATTTAATTTTTTCCCTGAAAATCCTGCTTTCTCAGCTTGGGGAACAAGTGGGTCCCAAGGACAGCAGACTCAAAGTTCAGCTTATGGGAGCAGTTACAGCTACCCACCTAGCTCACTGGGTGGTACTATTGTGGATGGACAAACAGGATTTCATAATGATACTTTGAATAAAGCACCTGGAATGAATAGTATTGAACAAGGAATGGTTGGACTTAAGATTGGTGGAGATGTAACAACTTCTGCTGTGAAAACAGTAGGTTCTGTTGTTAACAGCGCCGGAATGACGGGTGCTCTCTCTGGTAATGGTGGATCCAGTGTAAACTTGCCAGTATCTAAACCAACCTCTTGGGCTGCTATTGCCAGCAAGCCTGCAAAACCACAGCCGAAAATGAAAACAAAAAGTGGGCCTGTAATTGGAGGAGCTTTGCCTCCACCACCTATAAAACATAATATGGACATAGGTACTTGGGATAATAAGGGTCCTGTGGCAAAAGTTCCTGCTCCCCAGCAAATCCCATCTCCTCAGTCTGTCCCACAGCCACAGCAACAAATGGTTCAGCCTATTCCAGCTCAACCTCCTCCATTGACCCAGCCGCAGTATCAAAGTCCTCAGCAGCCACCCCAAAACCGCTGGGTGGCTCCCCGCAACAGAAATGCAGCTTTTGGCCAAAGTGGAGGAACTGGTAATGATAGCAACTCAACTGGCAGTACCCAGCCTAACTCTGTCCCAAGTGGTGAATCCCATCCCGTTCTTGAAAAACTGAAAGCTGCTCATAGCTATAACCCGAAAGATTTTGAATGGAATCTTAAAAATGGACGTGTGTTCATAATAAAGAGCTATTCTGAGGATGATATTCATCGTTCCATTAAATATTCTATTTGGTGTAGCACAGAACATGGCAACAAACGCTTGGACAGCGCTTTCCGATCCATGAATAGTAAGGGCCCAGTCTACTTACTATTCAGTGTTAATGGTAGTGGACATTTCTGTGGAGTAGCAGAAATGAAATCACCTGTGGACTATGGCACTAGTGCTGGCGTCTGGTCTCAGGACAAATGGAAGGGGAAATTTGATGTCAAATGGATCTTTGTGAAGGATGTGCCCAACAACCAACTCCGACACATCAGGCTGGAGAACAATGACAACAAACCAGTTACAAACTCCCGTGACACACAGGAGGTTCCCTTAGAAAAAGCAAAACAAGTGCTTAAAATTATTGCTACTTACAAGCACACAACCTCCATCTTTGATGACTTTTCCCATTATGAAAAGCGCCAAGAAGAGGAGGAGGTGGTGCGGAAGGTAAACTTGCTTTTTTAGAAAAAAAAATTAAAAAGACATACTTGGAAAAATGTGAATGCTGCCGTGGGGGAGTGTGGCGGGGGGAGGCTAAGTAGAGATTATAAAATATTTGTAATGTGTTCAAACATGGTTGTCCTAAGTGTGTTTTAATACTAAAACAAAACCCTGTGCTTCAGTTCTCTTTGTGGTTTTCATAGTCTGAGGTAAAGTTGGTTTGTTTTTAAGCCAAAAGTTAAATATACAAGTAAAGTATGTTATGCCCAATTCTACTAGAGGTTGAAATTTTATTTTGGGATTGTTAATGGGCTACAGAGCCTATGAGTGTTTCAAAGTTGGCCCAGGTCAGGGGATGCCATGTAATAGGTCATTGGCTTCTGTGAATCAGTAAGTATCAATCCAGTTCTAGTCAAATATTCTGTCAAAACTGGCACCTTTGGTTGTATCTTTAGCAGTGAGGCCAAGGTTTGAATAGTCACTGAACTATTCTCATCCAATTAGCTGGCTTCTCCAGAACAAGAGTTGAGGAAAATTACAGTGTGAGGATGCTTGTATTGCTGCTGCTGTTTGTTACATCTATTCTGTGGATAAATGAAGGATTTTGAGTCCTCAGGACTGTCTTAACACCTTCTAACACTAAAAATCACTGGAATTTTTAGAGTAGGGTGTGGGAGATGGGGAACCTCCAGACAAAGAGTTCCACAGTAACTAGTCTATTTTTATATGAAAGCGTGATTATGAAAAGCTACCCTTGCACTTGGCATAGGACTTGAGGCAGCTCACCCAGGCCAAGAATGGGACCCAAATGTCTAACATCAGTGACTCTCTGTATACACTGTGTGCTGACTAAATAGGAGCTGTTAGAATGTAGTGGCTAGCTGACACTTACAATGGTTTGATACTGATGTTAGTGTTTCAGTGTATAGTTTTTTCTACAGTTCCTCGGAAGTTTGCCAATTCAGCTTAGTGCATTTACATGCGCTTCAAAACATTTTTTAAGCACAGACTTAGATGCAGTGTCCTGAAGTAAAATGGAAGTTGCAGTTATATGGGGCTTTCCCTTTATCACCCTTCAAATTGCTCTAAGCCAGTGGTGGGCATCCTGCGTCCCATGAGGGTAATGTGCTGCCGGACCGCAAAACAGTTTGTTTACGTTGCCTGTCCTCAGGCACTGCTGCCCGCAGCTCCCAGTGGCCACGGTTCGCCATTCCTGGACAATGGGAGCTGCAGGAAGCACCATGCTTTATACTGTTTGGTTAGGACCTCCCCTTACAAATTCAGGGAAATTCAGATTTAAGGCTTTCATTCAATTTTTAGTACCCTTTTTTCAGTCTAGCCATCATCTTACAATATATACACGTGCAAATTTCAGGCCAATAGTAATTAGGCTTGATGGAGAAGACCTTCAGTTCTCTGAATTTGCTTTTTATGTCCTCTGTGGGATTTTTAGAGCAAAAGCTTTATCCACATCCCTGCAAACTTTCTGCCTGCTGAGAATTGTTTCTTCTCACTTTTCCCCAACCACAGCCTTGCGAAGGAGCAGTTTGAAACAGTGGGACAGAACACTGGGCTGGGAGTTGGGAGGTCTGCATTGTGTTCCTTTACCACAGATGAGATGTGAGATGGCTAAGGCAAATCACTTAGCCTCTCCATGATAATGCTAAGATTTAACAACAACAAAAACCGACCACCTCTACCTGGAGTGCCTGTTGTGTCAATCACTGAAAGTGATTTCAGGCCTCTTCTTCTCAGTTCAAGAGAAAACATTTAATCCTGTGTTGATCCTTGCTAGCTTTATGAATGGGATCATATGCTATCACCTGAATTTAGCTCTCTTTTATAGTAGCTCAGTATACTGGCAACAGACCATTGGGCTGACCCCACCTCTGTATTACTTTAGTGTGGACTTTCATTTTCTGCTTCTATTTAAAATTAAATACATAAATAAAATGTGCCTGTCCGGGGTACTACTTTCTAACAGGGTCAATTTCTCAACAATTAATGCATGTTTTCTGCTTCACTTAATATTGAGGGAACATTGGGATTCAGTTTAATTACGATTATATTTTCTGAAGGTATCATTTCATATATCTGAATAGTTTTCAAAACTGAGCTGTGTATAAACAATAGGAATAGGCTGAGAAAGATGACGGATAATAGAATGAAAAATAAATAATATTCAGACTGTGGCAGTCAATGTAAATTATATTCTGAGAGGAAAGCATCTATTTTTAACTTAGGTGTAAACAAATTTTGGCAGTGCAGTAGCTTGCTGTAAGAGTTTCCTTCTAAGGCATATGAAGAGTCAAACTTTTTTCGTATAGTTGAAAAGCACCTGTTATTGAAATTTAACATACTTGATAACTCTGTCTTAAACAGATCTTCCATTAAAAAGTAAATATTATATACAGGAATCTTTTGCCAGTTAAAGTTAATACATATGTGTATGTAAGACTTAACTGTAAAGAGTTTTCAGATTGCTGTATCCTTCTATTCATCTTATTTGGTTTAGCGGTCAAATAATTTGTTTAGAAATGTATTTATATTATAATTACATAAAGATGGCTTTTTAAAATCTTATACTATTCAAAGATGTATTTTTCCCATTTTGCTGAGAAAATCAATTTTATGTAATAAAGACACTGATACCTTAAGAAATATTAAGAATCCCTTTTAGACAGTTTTGCCTACGAATATGAGCAGTGCTGCTTTTAAGAGTTTAATCACAGAGGGCATGTGCAGAACATGTTCCTTAGGAGTTAATCACTCCCTTGCCACTTATTCTCCAACTAAAGTCAATCGAATGTTGTCATACTATATCTTTCTTTTGTGGAAACTATAACATGTCAGATGAGGATTATGACCTCAGATGAGGACTGTGTAGCTCTGTAGCATAATCTAGTTGGGTAACATTTATCGAAGTGCAGAAGATTCATCCAGGGTCCTCTGCATCACTTAAGATCTGCATTGCCCTCTGTGGATGAAGGAAAGATGTAATCACACTTGTAGCCCTGTATGCTGCTAAGGCAAGATGAGAGGGAATAATAGAATTGTACTAGTGCAGCTCCAGTGGCCTAAAACACTCCATACGGTAGAGGGGTGTTGGCTGCTATTCCACCCTGTATAACAGAATAGCCAGGGAAGGTTGGACATGGATTCTCTCCTGCTTGCCACCTCTGCATTTTCTGTTGAAAGCTAGTTTACTCTGTTTTTTGTGCCAAGAGAGGGTGCTAATTTCACCCCATATGATGCAAGATTGTGCACTTAAAAATTAAAAAGATTAAAACTTCATAACATGTGGGCAAATTTCTCTAAATAGAAGATTTGGTAAACTTACCAGGAGGCATTAATAGTTCATGAATCATCCCCAGTAAATAAGATTACTTTAAACTACAAAATCTTCCTTTGAAATAAAAAAGCTTGATGTGACATTAGCAAACAAAACAAACTTGTTGTGTATTATGGGTTTTTTTGGATGTATTTTGTTTGGAACAAATTTGGGGCAGAGGTTGGAGGGGCATTTATGTTCATTTATGTTCTCCCTTTACAGATATCATCTTACATTGATGATCCTAGCTGGCTTGGCAGTCTAGTAACTATATAGTATGCCAGTATCTTGTGGATCTGAGTTCAGGGGCTCTCATACTTCAGAAGGAGAAGGTCTGAAGTGTGCAGCAGAGGATGTGCATTACACTCCCAAGAAGGCACGGTCATTGTGTGTCTCTTAGTTTCCCAGGTGCCCACTTTGGCCTTATCTAGGCTAGGATTTAGTAGATGTTAGCTGGCACGTGATAACAGCCTAGTGTAGACCGGTTAGTGTGACTTTAACATATGTTTAACTGGTAACAAGTGAAAGGCACACTGAGTTGTCTACAATAGGGTGTTAACATGTGCCAGTTAACATCTTCCAAATCCTAGTCTGGACTTGTTGGCTTTACTGAAGGAGCAACAATGACAGGCTCTGGGGGAGCTGCATGTCCCATTTCTTGTTGGAAGGCTCACTGGTATGGAGATTTTCAGGATGGAGGGTGCATAGCCTTGGAGTGCATCCTGCTCTCCCCCACCCCCAAATGCAGATCATTACAGTTGCATTCTTAAGACCAGTGTTTATAACATTACATTTCTTGATTTTAATTATGCTGTTGTAGAGGCTTTTTGTTTTGTTTTTAGTGGTAAGGAGGAGGAATGCCAATTAAGATTTAATGGGCTCTCTTTTATTGTCTGTTGGTTCCAACTCTGTCCTTTTTCTGTCCTTTCATCTCAACTTCATTCCACTCCTGCCCCACTCCCTTCACTTGTGTTTTCATTCAGCCTGTCCCCACCTAACTAAGCTTATCCCAAAAACAAAAACAAAAAATAGTGAAACTAACATGCTGTTTGCTGCCATCTTATTTCTTCACTCTGCTTGTGAGTTATACCCCTTCCCCCACCTTGTGTCTGCATTGTCTATTTAGACAAGGTTCTCAACCTTTTTCTTTCTGGGGCCCGCCAGCATGCTATAAAAACTCCAGGGCTGGCGTTGGGGGGGAGCAAGGAGAGCAATTGCCTGGGGCTCCATGCCACAGAGGAGACACCGTGAAGCTAAGTTGCTCAGGCTTTGGCTTCAGCCCCTCATGGAAGACTCAAGGGCCTGGCTGCAGTCCAATGTGGCAGGGCTTCAGCTTTCTGCCCTGGGCCCTAGTGAGTCTAATGCCAGCTGTGCTTGGCTGACCCCCTGAAATCTGTTTGCAGCCCCCCAGCAGGCCCAGGACCCCTGGTTGAGAACCACTGATTTAGATTATAAAGTCTTCAGTGCAGAAAGTGTCTGCTGCTCTCTATTTGGCCAGTCCTGAGCATAATGGGGCCTATTCTTGGTTGGTCCTGATTATTAATAATAATAATCCCACTGACCCTGGTTTGGTAGAAGGGTTGACAGTTCTGCCTGGGAAAAATAAGTGCAAAACTATATCTAGTTCTTGTATGGAATTGGAGGCCTTTTCTTCATCCCTTTCTGCAATTTTCACTGTCTCTAGCTGGGAAGATAGTTGTCCTTTTACCCCCAAATTATCCAGCTGAGGAACTTTTCTCTCTCTCAGCTTCTCTGCTTTCATTAATAAGTCACCTTCACATTTTTCACATTTTCAGTCAGGCAAAAGAACAATAGACTTGTGAGAACTTGTAACTAGCAGCATGGTTCACTGAGAGATGTGTTGCATAAGATGTGACACATCAGTGTGCCTCAACCTGGGCTACAGTCCCGCTTCCTAAAAGAAGGCTCCGGATTAATTCAGGGGACAGGAAAGGAGCAGTGGGGGCAGGGAAATGTACACAACAGATTGGCCCTGTTTCACATCACCTTTTGACTACTGGCAAAACCTAAAATGGCTCTTTGAAAACCATCTGTCATCCTTCTCTGCTTTGAAGTATAGGGCTGGAAGCTCAAGGAGTAGCCCATTGTCTGCTCCTGTGGTACTTGACATCAAGAACGTAGGCAGCCTCATCCTGCTAAACCACCAATGGATGCCTTAAGGAGCTTGTAGCTTTTTGAAGGAAACAGGGATGTGGGAGTGGGATGCACTGATTTTAAAATCACCAATTTTAGTTATTCAAATCAACAAACAGGAAGCTTTGATTTAAATAGACTACCCCCTGATGTTTTAATTCTGTTGTGCATTTGTACTCTTTAAGTTATTCTCATTAGTTGGTAATCATTAAAACATGTAGATTTGCAATTAAATATGTCCTTTACACTATATTTGGTACTACTTTCTGTTAAGGAGGAGAATACACTTCTATACATTTATGTAAACAGTTATGTAGTTTAGCATATGTTTGTTCAGATTCCTAACTTTTACATTTGTTAGAAAATGGTGAATGACACCATTTCTTATTTAATAGATAATTAGTATTTTACTCATTATTTATGTCAAGATACATTTGGGTGGGAAATGTATTTGTGCATTTTTAATTGAATTCCAAATTGTTTTTATTAAACTACCTTAAATGTGATGGAAATCTAAGAAAAAAGTTTATCAGCGTGTTTTGCATTTAAAACAAATGTAGTATACAAAGGAAGGAATATCTGCAGTTTCTGGTCACCATGTCAGTCAAGATTTTAGAACTAATAGATCTCATCCTCTTGCATCTCTGCTTTTTCAGCTCCCAGTCAGTTTCTCAACTTTGAATGAGCTAGTCATTGAATTGATCTAGTTTAAAAACAAATGAAGAAAATACTTTCTCTGCACCTCCAGATGAGACTGCCATTGTCAAAAGCTGGTTTAGCACTTCAAGAAACTCTGGTTCCAGGTGCTCAGCTTGTGGCTTCCAGTTCAATGGTTTGACTTTATTTAAAAACTTTGGCATTAGTAAACACGTACTACTTGAATGTTTTTTGTAATTGAAATTATTTTAATAAACTACAGTAAATGTAGGCCTTTAATATAGGGTCTCGTAATTTAAACTTTAAATACGTTTATTTAAAAAAAGAATACTTTAACTATCCAGTTTTATTTTTATTCACCTTGTGTGGGAAGCCAGCAGGTGACCAAAACAAGAAACCTAATTTATTTTGTTCCCTTTTCTTAGAAGAGAGAGAATAGATTGGAGACATGGTAGTAAATATCAGAACAGTGGAGTGGAGAAGGGCATCTGCCATCAAAAGATTGGAACTTAAAACCACTCTCTTGACTTAAGCAGTTCAAATATAGGTTGGAAAACTTAATAACAATATATAGTTATGCCAATAATGCTAGCCCCAGGTCTGAGCCCCTTGATTAAGAACATATCACTTTGGTTACTACTCTTATAATTAAGAAACAAACATCACTTCATTGGCAATTGATAATTCAGCCAACCAAAGAGAACCTTCCCTCTACACTGTTCTAGTCTTAAAAAAAAAAAAAAAAATTATATATATATACACACTTTACAAATCCTGCAGACTACTTGAATTTTCATTTAATTTAGTCCTGATCAGTTTGTTGTATTTATTTTCCGCAAAAAATAATCATCATAAATGTTCAGGTCTTGTTCAGAAGCACGTTGTAGCCTGAAAACTAAAACATGTGTTAACCCAGTTACAAATGCAGTTTGGTTTCTTTCTCTCTAGTTGTCACAAGTTTAAAATTAGAATAGTTCAAAATGGTAGGAATCTGTGTAGATAGCCCTTTACTACCCTGTTTGGAGAAGATGTGGATGGGATCTATGTGAAAAGGCTTTAAATTGAAAAGTGTGATTTGAGGTAATTAGTCTGAGTAATTTATGCTAAGGTTACTTGTATTCATTTTAAGCTTATTTTGAAATGGAAGGATCTAATTTTTAAAAAGTAAAAAACAAAAAAACCCAGTCTCTGCACCCTGCTTGGGAGCTCCATCTTTCATGTCTGTTTGTAGCTAACATAAATGCTGATCATAGATGCTGCTAAACTCAATTAGTGTATCCAATAGGACTTTTTAACTTCTAGGCCACTCATTGGACATGGTGGTTGGGCTACTGAAACAGTGCCATATCAATAGTCACTCAAATAAAATGTAAAGTCTTATTAAACTATGGTTCTTAATGCCTTGTATTTTACATTATGCAAATGATTTACTTTAAGGAATATTAATGGGTTCGGGGGGGAAAGTTATGAAGATGCGCTCCTAATGTTAACAGCTCTTAACATTTTAAACCTGCCTTGTATCTTAGATGAAAACAAAGTAGAAAATGACACCAGTCCATGAAAAAAAGGTTAAAATATTTGTCACTACAATTTTTCTGAGTTTTTAAAAACAGGGAAAATATAACAATCCCAACTAACTCGGAAACTAAAGGAAAAAGTCATAAACTAGCAATGTTTAGCCGTTAAGACTCCTAGCTTCTTGGGAAGGTAAAATGGTATTTTTGGCTTCCCATAGTAGATATCCACTGCTCTGCTCTCTGGAGCTCTGTATTTGCACCCCCATAAGCTTTTGCTGGGATATTCTTGTCAATTTCTCTGTTCCAGAGGCAGTTACTGAACAGTCCCTCTCTTTTTCTTGCTTACCAATTTCCCCTGTTTTTGCCTGAACTGCCCTGCATGATCCCTTGTTCACTACCTCCACTGAAGAGTGGAGAGCACAGCTGCTTCTCTTGCTCACTGGGAGACATTCTTGCAGACTTGTTGAGACCCTTTCTCTCCACACTTACTGCATTTGGGGCACAAATTAAGTAGACTGCCCTTTCCAAAGTTGAGCCCTGTCTGGGGTTTTCCTTTAACATCCCTTGCTCTTTCCCATTGGTGGAGGTTATCTGAAGCTCAGTGAGACTTCAGTGAGCCCCTGGCTTCTACTTCATTCAGCAGAATAGCGTCTTACAAGTCTTGCTTGCTTCATTCAGCAACACTTTCTCTATCAGACTCTTGAAGTCTCCCAGAATGTCTTCCAAGAAGAGTAATAAGGTAGCAGAGGAAGAAAAGGTTTGGGGCAAGTTTCAAAAGTGACATGCACTTAAGAGCGGAAGTTCTATCACCTTTCAGTGAGACCTAAGGTCCTAACAGAAGGGCACTTCTGAAAATTTTGCACTTGTTCTGTGGATCCCTTCAGTCTGTTCCTACCCTTGTACCAATCCAGCTGCTGTTGCTAGAGATCAAAATATTCAAGATCTGTCTTCAGTTATGAATTTTAGTTTTCCAAACTTACATTCTCTGCTGTAGCCCTCACCTGTTACCATTTTGGGGCCTGAGTGACTGGTCTAGCTGCATGTACACTTGCTCTGCACTCATTCAGCAACTCCATTTAAAATTTCATGTGTTCATTTGATTCCTGTATTCTTGTATGTGTCAAATATATACTATATATGATAAATAATTGCTGTTGTAATTTTAAAATTACATGTAAGACATAATTGTGGGCTGCACGAGTAATTGCATTTATCAAAAAACCTCCCACCTTTCTTAGCTGTTGTCACTAAAAGTTTGTTCATGTTGTTAAATATCTGGGTTTCTTTTCCTGACTCTTTTAAAACTTTGTTTTTTCTTTTTACAGGAACGGCAGAATCGAAACAAACAATAAGAATAAATGTACACAATTTGCTATATATAATAGAACTGATATTAAATTCGACTATGAAAAACAAATCTTAAAATGTATTCTGGTGCTATATCCTGGCATCAGGACAAACTAAAGCTTTCAGCTCCAATATATCTTCTTGTGCAGGGGGAATTAAGTTGTTGCCTCTTTAAGTACATTGTAGTTTGTTTTTTGCCCAGGTGGATCTGCATTAATTTGTATCTTTTCTATGTAAAATGCTATAGAATCCATTAATAAAGGTGTATCTGTTTTTATTTTTTAAGGTAGTAAACAATTATACTGACCTAATATGGAACTATAAATGAGCATTCTAAAAATGTCAGTGTTTCCCAAAGACTCTATTTTGGCACAAATTATGTTCCTGTTCTGATTGATATTCATCATAATTTTGTATATGGCAGAATTTCTCTCCTCTTCACCCCAAACCCTGTTTGTTCATGGCAATCATAAGAAACCATTGAGTTTTGTCACTTTAAGAATGTTGTTTAAGAGAAATACTGCATTCAGAATATTGAAGTAAAAAATTCAAGTTAAGATCACTTTTTAATTGTAAAATTATACTTTTAAAAATGCTAACATGCCACTTTGATTTTTTCTATCTCAAAGAAAATCAAATTCTGTCAGTGAAATTTTCACTCTGAAAATATTTCCCTTTCACATTCTGTTAACCAGTGCTTCAGTGTGTATTTGTTATACCCATATCCTGCAGAGAGTTAGTGAGATGCTTTCTCTCAGCCATAATTCTGCTTTATTGTTTTTGTAGCTTAATAAATAATAATGTAAATGCTATCAACATTGCAGGGTTTTTGGACAATGTGTTGAAACCTGTTTCAGCTTTCAGGTGTTATTAGTTAATTGCAGATCATTTTTAATCTTTCCCTTTCTTTTCCCCCCCAGATCCCAATGCCATTTAAAGTTTTTATACCAATAATGCTGAGCTTTAATGTAGAAACTAATAGTATGGACAATATGATGGATTATGCCTCAGATGTTTAAAATTGACTGTGTATGTCTAATTTTTTTTCTGTTGGATGAGTAAAAAAAATGTTTTAAGAAACTGAATTTGCTGTCATGTTTTTGTGGAATAAGGGAACCGTTGAAGAACTCGTCACCAACTGGAGTTTCAATTAAGCATGAAAATTGTGCTCATGCCTGTTGCTCTAGCACACTGAATCTGCACGTGTTTATTGTAGAGGATCTTTTACTATATTAGAAAGCAAATATCGTCTTCTGAAAACTATTTACTCCAAAAGGACCTCTGATTTAAATAAAGTTTAAGCTGTATCCTTTAGACTTGTATTTAGAACGTATAACTTTGTCTCTGGACTGTCACTGCCTGTAAGGACTCATGGACAGCATCAGATTAACTTTTTTCCTCTAGGAGAATACAAGCCTTAATAAACAATACATATTTAGCAAGTATGATGTCATTTTCATTTTTTTCCCTACACTCAAAGACCTGCATGTATTGTAGCCATGTAACACAAACTCATGAGGCACAAGACCAATTAGTGTAGTTAGTACGCTGATAAAATTGCAAACATCTGTGTTGGTCAACACACATTCTCTCTGGCAGGGATCTTTCTTGGAAATCGTCTTAAGAATATGTCTAAGCTACTTGCAGTATTGTTTCCTCGGTGGGGTTCTTGTGCATTTATAACTGGCAACTGTTATACTTTCTATTCTGCTTGTATGGCCGAGAAGCTTAATAAGGAATTGAAAGCTGATCTTCAGGATTCACCATCCATACAAGGATATTACAAATCTGGATCAGTGTGCTGAGGAAAGAACTTTCAAAATTAGGAATAAACCAAGTAAAACTCTTTTATGTAACCTTATGGCTTTTGGCAGTGTTGCATTGCTCCCTATGTTCTAGGATTTAACCTGGCGAATTTTAAAAAGCTGCCTTTTTCTTCAAAGTCCGTTCCTCAAGCCCTGTTGACATCCTGATACAGCACAAGTCTGGCTCTCTCTTTTCCATCAGTTGGGCTCATGCAGCCAAGAATTCCACAGCCAAAAGAAATGCAGTTCTCTTTAGTCCCCGCAGAGCAGGCTGACACTGGCAGCACGCATTTTTAGTTTCCCACCAAAAATATGTAGGTATCCCTTCTTTGGTGCTGCTGCTGCTAACCTAGAAAAGGTTTAGTCTCTAGGAATAGAATCCTAGAATATCAGGGTTGGAAGGGACCTCAGGAGGTCATCTAGTCCAACCCCCTGTGCAAAGCAGGACCAATCCCCAATTCTTGCCCCAGATTCCAAAATGGCCCCCTCAAGGATTGAACTCACAACCCTACGTTTAGCAGGCTAATGCTCAAACCACTGAACTATCCCTATCCCTGAGCTAGTCTGTGTGTCTCAGCCTACTGTCCCTTTTGTGGGTATCACAGAAATACCACCTAAGCTGCTATGATAGGGTGCAGTTATAAGTGTTGTACTGTGCAGTCCCGGGAGTAGCTGGCTCAGAGAGGAAGCTTGAATAACGTCTGACAGAAATCATTGCTGTTTCACCTTTGCCATGACCAGCAGTAAATTAGCAATACATTCTAAAAATCGGATAGAATAAATCTGTAAGTTGGTGTTGTAGAATAAATATGCAGCAATATTTCTCCTGTCCTGTAGAATGTGTGATGTTAAAGTTGAATCACTTGCTGTGCATCTGCTTGGTCTGATATTTTAGTAATGCTTGAAAGTATTTTTGCTCAAAGAATGAGAGAGTTTTGTTTACTTGTATTTCTCTAATGCAACAGGCAACCAGAGCAGTACATCTTGCATGTCCTAAAGCTGTGGTTATAATTATAGACATCACGGCGTTCTCAAAAAATGATTCATAACTGCAAGTACAACTGTATCAGAAGGTAGCATTACCAGCCTTTCAGGTGTTTAACTTTCATGGTGGTTACACTTGCTACTGATTAATGAGAGCTTAATACAACTTGGATTTGTATGAGAAATGACAAGGAACAAACAAAACTAACTGATGTTACACTAAGATTGAAACAAGCTGACAAAAGTAGGGAAATTGAGGATAAAAGCTGTCACTGTGACCTTAACTTAGTGTGTTTGTAAAATATGGTGTGTGTGTTTGGGATTTTTTGTTTGTTTGTTTGTTTTTTAAACCGGTGAGGTTTTAGGGAAGGAGTACATGGGTGTGAAGTGCACGTCCCAAGTTTTTTTCTTTCTCCTCACACCCCACTAGTCTCCTGATTTTCAAAGCTTGCAATTGTAGTTTTACAGCAAACCCAACAAACTTTTATCTAAAGCATTTTTAAGGTAGATTTATTATTGAATTTAATTCTACCTGGTACTTCTTTCCTGTCTCTTGACTTCCTACGCACTAGCCATAGATTTACTCATAGATGTGCTACAGGATTTAAGCTAAAAGGAACAGTGTACGTTTCTTGGTATTAAACTGACGACAACACACTAGGGAGGTGATAACTTACGTGAAGCAACATGTATCTTCTTTTCCAATCTAATAATGTGTAGGGATTACTTCCAGCGTAAGCTTATGCAGGGGGAAAAGATTGTCAGCTACTGCAACCACTAGAACAATTTTAGCTCTCTGAGTCACTATATGAAATGGCAAGGAAGTGTCAGCCTTTCTTGTGCTACCAAAAAACCCCCCAAAACTGACACACACACACCCAAAAAAGCAAACCCTGCTGTACAGCAGTTATGCTGTTTGCTTCTTGTGCAGGCATATCTATAAGCAATGGTACAAAATGGGATGGGATTTTATTTAACATGAAATAAATATGAAAGTAAAGCAAGAAAATAGAAGACAAAACAGTCCCTCTTAACTCTCACAACTGTTCTCCTGGCTGAGCTGGTGGTCTGTGTGTTGTGTAATCTGTTAAGCTTGGGAAACCTCTGTCTTGCAAGAATATCTGCAGTTGCAAACTCTATGCAGTTTATTTAGCCGAAAGATACGTGCAATTTTTAAAGAAATACTGCTGTTAATCAGAATTCAGCTCCAGGGCCGCGCTCAAGTAATGGAGACGCAGCTCACCTGTTCCAAAGCTAATTGTTCTATGGAGCTTGATACGGTGATAGTACATAAACTTGCCTCTTGACATATTATTGTCCTTCATGATAATTCTTAGCTCCTGCATAGCACTTCTCATGAATAGATTTTATTACAAAGGTTAAGTGTTGCTGCCTTTTATAGATGGGGAAAATGAAGCACAGAGAAGTGAAGTGACTTGACCAAGCTGGTGACTCAGCCAGGACAGAGGCAGGGGTAGAACACCATTTTTCTGTCCTAGCCATTGAACCATGCTGTGGCTGCCATCAATTTCATGAGATTCCACAGTTTATATTTCTTGGCACCTCCCTCTGAATTTGATTTTTCCTGCTTATATTTGAGTATCTCATTGACTTCACCTCCTTCCTCCCTTCAAAGTTCTCCTACTGGAAAAATTAATTACAAAAACTGAAAATATTACCATTGCATCCCCTCCCATGAGTTTTGACTTTGGTGTTTTTAATTCCTGGTGTGGACTAGAGATTAGAACAGGGGTCTGGGAGTTAAGTGGATGGGTTCTATTCCTAATGGGGTTGCTGTGTGATTTAAGTCACTTATCTTACGTTTTAAATGTGGATAATCCTAGTGAGCCTTTACTAACCTCTGATGTTTGAATTACTGTTTGCCACATAGAATCATAGAATATCAGGGTTGGAAGGGACCCCAGAAGGTCATCTAGTCCAACCCCCTGCTTGAAGCAGGACCAATTCCCAGTTAAATCATCCCAGCCAGGATGTTGTTTAGTTGTTTTTAAATCCATTTTATTGCTGTCTGTCATCTTACCATTACTTGGCTTATAACATGTCAAAGGAACTCTTTTTACCTGGAATGTTACCATGGCAATGTCTTCACCAAATAGATTCCTAATTCAATGGCACAATAATTACTAATGCAGAGTTGAGAGTACTCGGTCGTATATTGTTCCCTGACAGAATACTGGGTTGAGCAAAATACAAATTAACAGAAAACAGAAAATATAGAGGTAGAGTTGCCCTCTTAACTCTGCCCTCCTTCCGCTATGCCCTATTTAACACACGAACACCCCTTTATCAACCCTACAGCGGCTGAAATGTACACATGCAGGTGCACAGTCCTTTGTCCCCGGTTTCTGCTCCACGCAATACAACAATTTTGGTTAGATTGGCTGCTGACTATTCTGTTATGCTCACAGTAAAAATAAAAATAGGTTATATTATAACATAGGCAATGTGTAGCAATCAACTTGAGTTTGTTTAAATCTTTATTTCGCAGGTATACAAAGATTTGAACTACCCAGGAAGGCATAAAGTAACCATCTTGATATTTTTCTTAATGGTTGCACGCGTTCTGTAATCCTTCCAAACTGCACATATATGCAGGTGAAGAAGTGAATGTGGTGTTAAATACTGCTCAGAATTTGGCTCCTCCAAAAACTTAGTGGGTGCCATGGACTAGACTGACTAAAAAATGACCATTTTGACCGTGTTGGAGCAAGGAATATGAGTTACTAAATCTCTGTTGCACAGGTGTATGAAGATTCAGATTAGAAACAGCCATGGTGGGGTATTCACTCCTGGTAGAGCTGTGGATGCAGAGTTGAGGTGCACTGGCAGAGCTTTGGGGTGCAGGCAGACTTGGGGTGCCCTGGCAGAGCTGAGGGTGCAAGGGCGTTGGGGTGCACGGACACCTGGGGAGTTCCTTGCCTCTCTTACCTGAAGCCCCAGCTTCTTGTCCCCCTCCTACCACCCACCTACCCCCATTTATCCTCTACTCATACGCTTCATCGTTTTGTAGTCCTCTCTCCTCCCAGCCCCCCACTCCTCCACCCTCAATGTCTCTTCTGTTCCAGAAAGCATTCACAGGTCTAATTTTTAACCTAAATACTTTGATTACATTCCCCTAAACTAAAATTGCTATCCTTGACTCACAAGTTGTAACAAACTCCAGCAACTCAGTTCAAAACTCCTTTTGTCTTTCTTAGGTGAGGGCTTGTAATTAGTTTATCTTTAAATATATTAAAGGCAGGATGAGTTCATAGCAATCAAGATCTGTGATTCTT